CTTTTACTTTCTCGGTTGAAAGATTGACTCCAATCTGTTTCCTCCCTTTTTCATTTGTTTCATTTTTGTATTATTAAGATACTTTTATAAGAAACTACCGATGGACATGGTCTAAGATTAAAATTTTGAACAACAAAAAAACTACCACAACTCACATACATGATTCCATTAACCTCCTTAGTGATGTGATCCAAACAATAACAAATTTAAAACCCTCAGTAGATCAATCAATTCGACTCAGGTTTCTTTTGATGTAGTAAGTATTCTAACAAAATAGGTTTGACTCCTCTGACCTCCTTCAACTTTTCTCATTTCGATTTGATCCTCCTAGATTTTAGACCTCTTCATTTTTTTCCCCTCAAAAAGTACATCTTTTCAAAAATCTCTCTAAACTATTATAACTCTTCAAATTTTCCAAAATCGTTAGTGCATGTCATTAACTGATAATTAATTGGTAATTGCGTTTATCCTAATCACATTTAGAGTAACCCAAAATCGTGTCCAACATAATAAAACGAGAGCCACACTTAGATTCATCAACAAACTGAGAACGATTCGGGTTTTTACTAAGTTAGACATGATTTCGGGTTATCTAAACGCGATTAGGATAAACGCAATTTCCAGTTAATTAAACGAAATCAATGGTTTAATCTGATTTTGGAAATTCCGAAGAATTAAAATAGTTTTGAAAGATTTTTGAAGAAATCTATTTTCTGAAGGGAGAAAATGAAGAGGTCTAAAGTCTGGAAGAATCGGGTTGGAATGAGAAAAGTTAAGAAGGGCCAGAGCAGTCAATTAAAAAAAATACAGAACACTACTTACTACATCAATGGACCAAATATTTTGTTGTCCCTTTTTGATGATAGATTCGTTTATTTTCTCCTTTAGAGTTGAGAAAATTCGTGGACAAAACAAAGATGAAAAAACCGGTTCTGCATGAATCGTCCCAAATCTCTCTATATTCTGGTGCATTACCAAAGCCAGCAACAACAAAAATCCATGGAAGATCTGATCTGTTGATCCATGAGTTCGACAATAAATTTATATACAGTAAGAGGATCGGAAATTCTCGTTTATTGATATTAACTCGGAAACAGNNTACNACATATGATATTGTACGTGCTAGAAAAGATTGTGTATTGAGCTCGGAAGCTTAGATCGGCTGACGAACCTTGTGTTCGGTTTTCTGAGTATCGGAATAAGGTATGAGATCGTCGCTTTCAAGGTCGAAACCTGTGACTGAAAACGAGATCGAGTTAGAGATCTAAACTGACTGAATAACTGAATGACGAGGTTGGTGGATCGGAGGTCGGAACCTGATGATAAGGGCACTTGAGGTCGGATCGCTGGTGTGATAAGTACGAACTCTGCGCAGCCTTTTTACGAGCTGTTCTTGTCCTTTCTGATCAATCGGGCTCGATCAGGAGATTCTTTCCCTTTTGGTGTTAGAGAATGATTGCTTTTCGCTCTCAAATTCCCTTGTACTTGCCCAAAAGTGGAAAAAAGTAATCCTCCAACTCATGGGATGGGGACCCCTATTTATACTAAAAGTGGAGAGAATGAGGTACTAGGGTTGCCTTGGGACCAATGCTGATGTCATTCACTACAGAAGGCGGCTGGGCTCACTTTGGCCTGAATCATCAGTTACTGGGGCGAGCTCGTCGGACTCCTTCCTTCTGGGCCGAGCTCGTCGCGCTTCTCTCTTCTGGGCCGAGTTTGGTGGTGCAATCTGTTTGTTGGGCTTTTTTCGGAAATGGGCTTTAAAGGTGACAATATTTGAAGCCCATGCCCAACAGTAGCCCCCCCTTAGTCGGCGAGTAGATAGGCTTTGGGCTCGTCGATGCGGTTTCAAGGCCCACGAAACATTCGGCCCGCTTCCTCCTCGCTTCTGATTGGCTGTCGTTGGACGGGGTGCAAGCGTCGAGGTGACTCTTCGTCTTCCCGACCTCGGCCTATATAAACAACCCTTCCTCCCTTTATTTTTCATTCTACGTTTTTCCGATTTTTGCGAAAGTACTTTCTCTCTCTGCCTTCTCTCTAACTTCTCCATACTTTTCTCGCTGCTCGATCTTGCGCTCTTCCGATCTTGTTTTTAACATATCCTCAAGCTTTCGATCTCGATTCTCTATACTTGCAATCATGTCTGACTCAAATGAGCGCNAGGAGTCCATTTCGGCCCANTCCGGCGAATCTGAGCGTCTCNAGTACTCGTCTCGTCGAGACGAAGAATCTTCAAGCGGACGCACAGCGGATTCGGCTCCTCTGATCCGGAAAGCTCGTCAGTCTCGTCCGTCTCGTGATGAGACTACTGCTAGCTCGAGGCGAGCTTCAGCGCCGACTACTCTCCCGCAGTCGAGCTCGAATCGTCCTCAAGATGACAGCGGGACCCGAGCTACAAAGAGCTTGGCCCTGACTCCTAGCCCGTNTGACCCNGGGTACGAGANTNCTCAGTTCGAGCTGGGTGACGGCGACCGTTCTAACGTTCCCGGGCTTGGAGATAAGGTTATTCTTCAAGGCAAGGATAACCTGCCGACTGGGTCAGACGCGACCTCGCTTGCCGCTCTCCGGTCTTCGCATGGCGTTCCTGCGAACGTCACACTTCTTCTTCCANNACCCCAAGATCGTCCCTGGACTCCTCCCNCAGGGCACATGTGTCTGCTCGAATCCTACTTCTACGAGGGGAAGCTGTGGTTTCCTCTCCCGAGGGTCTTAGTCGAATACTGTGCTCGACGTAGGATCGCCATATCACAGTTGTCGATCACAGCGATCCGCAACTTGGTGGGGGTGCTGGTCCTGGCGGCCGAGGTTAATCGAAGGGTGTGCTGCGACACCCTCGAAGAACTGACGAAGTTCAACAGGTTCGGGCCGGTTGGAAGCGGCCGGTTTTACCTCAGTTTAAGGAACGTCCTCCTGGCATGTTCCCCTGGAAACAAGACTGCG